TTTTTCTCATGGATTATTTTCTAAACACTCTCTGCAGTACCGATAAGGTGGAAAGCAGAGGGGATTATGAACTCATGCCAGGCCCCATTGCTGAAGCGGACTATTTACCACTCCGCCTCAACCACGAGGAACGTAAAATACAGCGATTGATGCGTGGTATTATTATGGCCTCACACTACACTGATAAAGTGGATAGTGAGACTGCATTGAAGAGCAACAAACGGGATGCAATTATTGTTAGAGAAATTACAAATGCATTGAGTGGTTTGATTCTTGGTTTGGATGTTGAAAAGGGGGCGATGCTCCTCCGCGAGAGGGATTTTACACCTTTTGCAAAAGAAATTCGTACAGCTATAGAAGCTTGCCGAAGGTATAAAATGATGAATCCTGATTTACTTCGAACCGATTACGTAAAATTTCTTTATATGGTTCAAGATGCGGTACAAAATGAAAATGTTCGAGAAATGTTGGGATTTGTTGTTGGAGAGAGAATTATTACAGTAGGTCAATACTGTCGTTCGTTGGGTTTTGAAGAGGTATTACAAGATCGACGTTTACCTCTTTGCATTACTCCTGTTCCTGTAATGAAAAACAAAAGTAAATTGAATAAGGCGTTGCGTCAAAAGGATATTGTAGTTAATGCTGTAACAAAAGAGTATGGTGGAAGATTTGGTAGACATTCTGAAGAAGTAGAACTTGCCATTAGAAGCCTTAATGACGCCAATCAATTTGCCAATGATAATGTAGATAGCACGAATCAGTTATTAAAACTATTAAAGCATTATTTTTCCCCTGATAACTTAAATGAGTTGACAAATTTGAGTATTGATGAGGGTGAAGATGGAAGTCGTTTGACACATGATCATAAACGTCAGTTCTATTTCGTTTTACAGAGTCTTACTTTATGGAAAAATATATGTCGTCGAATGTTTTCTCTCTGGACTATTGCAGAAGAAGATATGTTAAATCCAAATGAACCATATGAGTTTCGTTACACTGGTCAAGGATACCAACGTGTACAAAAAGCACCAAACCTTTACCGAGCTATTTGTGATATTGTTCAACAAACAAAAGATGAACTTGGAGAATGGGTAGGATCAGAACGTGTACACCTTGGTGATGATCAGGTTCCTAATGCGTTTCATTTTATTGATAAATATGTTCAGGTTTCACGTATTATTATTCCTATTCTTCGTACTATTACGAATATTGATAAACTGGAACATAATTCTGAGCACAATGCCTACTTGAAAGAAGTATGGGGTAATGCAGGTAACGCTAGGTTGGCTATATTGCGTGACTTTTTCCGTCATGGTTTTGATGGTAGTGGAGGTGATAATATGGATGATGCTGGAAGTTGTGTGGACGGTCGATTGACTAGCGCTTGGAATTGGTGTAATAATATTCGTTGTAAACCTTTCTATCCTCTTTTTCTCTTTGCAGGTTTTAACTCATTTGATGGAGAATTTGACTTGTAAAGAAGTGTTATTACGGAGAAGGCTGATGTAAGGCGATTCATGTGTATGTGTATGTGTATGTATGTTTGTTTAATTCCCTAGTCCTTGGAATGGTAGGGGTTTCTTTGATTCGACGTTGTTATTCGGTTCCTTTGTAATGTTTCTCTTAATTTACATTTTGAGTATGTTGAATTTCTCAGTCAAAACTCGATTTATATACATACATTATATATATATATATATATATATATATATATATAATGTATGTATGATTACTTTCCAGGGTGATAGAAGCGAGATGATGTTGAATGAACAGAGGGGATGAATGAGTGACGGAGTAGCTGCATTCCGCCTCTTCTTCTTAAAGTCATTCCTTTTTTCTTGTTGTTGTTGCTGTTGTTCTTTTTATTTTCTTTAATGAAATATAGATATATATATATTTTCTCCGTATATCTATTCTGATTATTATTATTATTTTTCGTTTTTTTCTTTTTCTTTGTTTTCTGCTGCTATTACTTTGTTGGATATACATTACTCCTCCTCCTCCTCCTCCTCTTCTTCTTCTTGCATTCTTCCCATTCCAGCAGGTTGGCCGTATCTGCCGTGGGATGCCCCCGAAGCTCCCAAACTTAAAGTACAAACCGCGCCGTGTGGTGCGGGCGAAGGACGACGACGCCGCCGCGCATGACGCCGACTTGAGTCTCGTGCAGCTCGAGCGCCTCCGCCTGCAGCAGGAACACGCCGCCGAGGCCGCCAACAACGTGAGGGACGATCACCGCTCAGCCCCAACCGCAACCACAACAGCAACAGCAACAACCGCAGGAACAACAGGAACAGGTGAAGGGGCACCCATCAGACGGCCAGCACGCCCGCAGCCTGGAGCGTTAGCGGCCAGTCGAGCGGCAGCATTTCTACCAGTTGAGGCAGAGCGTTTTCCAGCAAACACCATGTCTAAGATTCTTGAGGCAGAGGCGGATAATCCGAATATGACAGTTTACCATCCAACACCACTCGATAGCACACTTCCCGCACGTTTAAAAGTATCAGCTGGGGAGGAACACGTTAGGGGTGATGATCGTCGCGTTGAGACAACCGCGCAGGATGATGGGATTATGTTTTTAAAAGAATATGAAGAAGAATTGCGTCGATCTAGAGAAGCCAATATGCGATTTGAAAATGAAGTTCTTCGTCCTTCAGCTAATAGAATTAGTGTAGAAACAGATGTTGGTCGTCATGATGAGGGTGAATTGGTTTGGTTTCAATTACCTCGTTTTCAAGCTGACGCTCCTTTTCTAATGACGCAGTTGCCATCTGGAAAAGTTGGAGAGGTAAAGGTTTACAGAAGTGGTCGTATGGTGATGGAAATTTGCGGTGTTCACTACGATGTCGCTGTGGAGGGTTACAATGTAGGTGATGATGGTGCCTGCAATGTTGTCTCTGCAGTGGCTCCTCCTCAACAGCCTGATGAGAGATCGAGTTGTTACCAACTGGGACTTTTGTCGAAGAAGATGGTTTGTACACCTAGTATCACTGTGGATAATTGATGGAGATAAAAAAAAAAAAAAAAAAAAAAAAAAAAAAAAAAAAAAGAAACAAATGGCATGCGGTAAAAAAGAAGAGCAAAATCGAGTAAAGAAAAAAAAAAAGGTAGTAGGCATAGAGAGAGTGAAAGAGAGAAAAAAGACACTCTTGGTATGAAGTTTCCTTTTCCACTATGACCCCCATTTCTCTCTCTTATTCTCTCTTTCTTTTTCTTTTAATATTTAATGATTTTTATTTTCTTTTCTATAATGTATGGTCTGTACACGACATGTTCTTCTTAAGGAAATAAATACATATATTGGGTTCGATATTGTTTCATTAGATAGAGGAGTAATGACTTCTGTAGCTAAAACAGGAAAAGAAAAGAAGTTCTGGATTTATGCTTTTCGTGATCATCTTGCAGGTCTTCAGTGTTTTTCAAACTGTATAGTTGTCGCTGATATTAAAGGTAATGGCGATTACAAATTAGTTATAGCAGATGGTAGCCGACGACTTAAAGTTTTTGGTGGAACTTCTCTGGTTTCACAATTACAATTACTTTCTGTTCCTTCATCCATAACAGTTTTTTACGCAGAGGGTGGAGATGATGTACAACGACCGGTGATAGCAGTTGCCTGTGGACCGTATATATTTATGTATCGTGATATGAAACCTCTTTATCGTTTTACAGTTCCTTCTGTAGAATTAGATGAAGTTGATGTGGCTGTATGGGAAGCACTTCGAAATGACACCATCTCTATTCCAGAAGCAGCTGATATGTTAGAAGATCGACGTCGAAATGGTGTAGAACTCTCAACTCATTCTACAGATCTTTTAGCATCTGATAATGCTCAGGAGCGAGAACGTATTGTGGAATCTTTTAAAGATAAACCTATTTCACAGCCTACTCTAGTAACCTGCATGAGTTCTCTCCCTTTAGAAGGTACAGAAGAAGGATGTCGTAGTTGTCTAGTATTTGGTACAGAAAATCGATATATCTATGTATTAAAAAATAGTTTTACTGAAATACATTTAAAAATAAAAATTCCTGGTGTTCCTGTTTCCATTTTAATAGCAGGATCTTTACGGATAGATTACCGTATTATAGTTTCTTCTAGAGATGGATGTGTTTATTGTATTAAAAATGGTAAACTTTCAGGATCTGTTATATATCCTGACGGACCAATTGTACAGATTGCTCGTTATGATAACCTTGTAGCTGTAGCAACTATGCAAAATACATTATCTTACTTTAATTTAAAAGGTAAACGTCAATCTTGTGTTTTTCTTCCTCTTCCAATAACAAATATTGCTACCATTACTGAAACTGCAACAGGTAAAGCTCGAGGTATTATTGTAGCACTTAATAATGGAACTATTTGTGTTTATGTTGGAAAAACACTAATTCATGAAAGTAAAGTCTATAATACAGTAACTGCTATGCATTTTGGTAGATATGGTCGTGAAGATGCGGCACTCATACTTGTTTTGCAAAATGGATCTCTTGTTGTAGAAATGTTACATCGACATGCTTCTTTTGAGACTGAGAAGATTAACGATGCTGGTCCTCCTCCCGAACAAGATGTGCCTATTCCTGTACCATCACTTACAAGTGTATTTGTTGCCCAAGCTGAACGTGAGCGTACATATGGTGTTGATATGCATAGATCATTTCAGAGAGATCTTTGTCGACTTCGCCTTAATACCGCTAAATCATACCTTTCATTACTTTCAAAAGGTGTCGAAACAACTACTTTGGGTTCTTCAAAAACTATTTCTGATAATTCTATTCGTATGATGACAGTAGTGAAAGGTATTGGTCCAGTATTTAAGATTCAAATTACATTACAAAATACTAGTCAAAAACCTATGGATAATTTGGTGATTCTTTTAAATTGTTCTCCAACGTTTTGCAAAATACTGAAACTTTTTATAGATGTGCCCTTGCTTCTGCCTTCTGTTCTTTCTTCGCATGAGGTACTTGTGGAACGTTTGGGTGATAATGAGGGGGACGAAGGAGTACATGTATGCGTTACTAGCCCTTCTGTTACATCTCCCTTAGCCACGGCTACTGTTGAGTTGCCAGATTTAGATATCATTGAAGATGGAATGTGAGTGAAGAGGTATATCGTTTTTTCTCTCATTTTTCTTTTTTTTTTTGTTTTGCATATAATTTTTTTTTTTTTTTTTTTTTTAGGCTCTCTGAGTAGAATGGACGATAATGAGGGGAAATTGGCAGCCACAGTAGACCCTGCGACTCTAGCAGAAAAAAGTGAAAAGAGCGTTGTCACCACAAAGTTGCGTGACTTGCGCGAAATAGAGAGGGAAGAAAATGAAAAGATTCGAAAACTTCTTTATACAACCCCTCTTGATGATGATGATATTGCTGTGGAAGAAGAAATGAACACACAAGACACTGTTCGCCTTTCAAGAGAAGCACGACAAGAGTTTAATAAGGCCACAATGCGTCCTATAAAGGAAAAAATGTTAGAGCTTCGCGGTTTTATGAGATTATTAGATCAACCTCAGCACAAACGTGTTGTAGCCATATTTTTTTTTACAACCATTGCAATGTTTACAATTCCTATACTTGTTCTGCTAATTGGTATGCATGTAATAGCCCCTCTTCTTGAGGTGGATGCGGGTGTGTGTGGCGGCTTTATGGCGCTTGGATCGACTGTTATTATTATGGGATCATATGTTACTTATGCCTTATTGGAACCTTTCTCAGATACAGTGGAAAAAGAAGACTATGAGAAAGAAAAAAAGAACAAGTAAAAAAAAAAAAAAAACAAACAATAAAAGCAAGGAGAAACAAAAAAGTAAGAAACATGTTCAGCTCTGGATATGACTTGAACCTTTCCCCCTTTTACCCCTACTTTGATACACGTATCATCATTATTGTTGCACCTTAAAAAAAAATTTTTTTTATGCCTTTATTCTTATTTCTTGAGTCTTATTTCTCTGATTTAGGCTAAAGTGGTTGTTCTTGTAGTTGTTGCTGTTATTCGTTCTAATGAAAGATTGGTGGTGTAGGAGTATAAGAAATAATTTATTTAACACACTCTTTGAATCCTCCTACTCTGAGTTGATCATATTTATGACCCTATATTTATTTGTTTGTATTTTCTTTTTTTTTTCCTTTTTTTTGGGGTTTCTTCCTTCATCCATAGATTTCGTAGGAATAAGTACAAATACTCTCTGTGCTGTTACTTAACCAAAAGAGAGAGGATACACCAGTTCTTCCATGACTGACTTATCGTCTTCGGCCAAATACGGTATCTCAGCATGCATTTACATTGTACTTGCCTTGCTATGGATGTTTTTTTCTTTTATGTATGGAAAAATTGCGGATCGTTGCGGGCATAGCAACAATATACCGGAGAACACGTACGGAGTACAGATATAATGAGGGAACTAACAACACGCATTTAATGGTGGTAACGTTGAGGATGATTATAATAGTTATAATGACGAGCGGTATGGTTTTGTACTGAGAAGATTCCTTCTTTGTATTTATTATTATTATTATTATTATTATTTTTTTTTTCTTTGCTTCCTTGAGAAGATAGTACTGGTAATGCAATCTTTGAAGCACAATGTCCCTCTATAATTATCTCATTCCTTTATCAGCGTTGTTTTTATGTGACAAGCATCGTTTGTTGTTATGTTTCTCCAGTTTTTAGTTTTGTTGATAGTTCTAGTCCTGCTGCTGCTGCTGCTGATGTTGATAATGGTGGTGGTGGTATGAATATTGGTATCTTTTTTTTTTGTTATTGTTATTCCCCCTCCTTGAATATCCCAAACTTCTTTGTTGTTACTGTTATATTGGACTGACTATAGTATGTTTTTATTTTTCCCTCTGCTTCCCGGGTTGTCGGCGACATAAAAGTGTAAACATATTTTGATGCTTCGTTGGTCCTATAGGGCGCGGGGACGCATTGACAGCACAACCTCCACGGCAGGAGGCATAACAGGGGTAATGGGCAATCGTCCACGGCGTCATTCCTCACGTCGGGAGGCGTTAATATTCCTCTTCGTCCTCTCTTTCCTTCTTCTTCTTATTGTGAAGACTTCTTCGCTGCTGGACTCACAGCAGGTGTCGGGCGTACAGGGAGACGAGGGTCGTGAGACCGCCAGGGGGAATCCCACACTGCCGTGCCCCGGCTTCCACGAGGCAGCCTCTCCACCAGCCACACTCTGCGCAAATGGCGCCGCCAGTCGGGCCCCCTTCTCGTCTCTTCGTAGTCAGCCCTTACAGTTGATAAAGTCAATGGAGAGAAAACAGTCAGAGTCCGCACCACACTTGTGCTACGCGTCGACAGGTACTCCAACAGCTAATCCTGTTTGGGCACGACCGTTATTGGAGGTGATGATATCAACAGGGGCGTACGCGCCAGCAGTCTCATTGCTGCAAAAAGATCCGTGGTATATGCTTATTGGTTGGGTATCAAATAGGTTTATGCCCCCGCAGAAGCCAGGTCGTAGGGCAAACGGTGATATTATGCTACCACAAACCAGAGGAACTAACGCCTCGTACTATTTGGATGTGTACGGAAGTGTATGGCATGCTGATGTGGAGGCAGGAAATCTTCGGTTTAATTTTCAATTAGTTCACCGTAACGCTATTGCTGTATGTGTACGCGAACGAATTCATCTCTTTAAGTATTATTGTATTCCTGGTGAAACGTGGGAGCCACTTCCTATTTACTTTTGTGGATGTAGACATTGCAGGATTCCCACTGAACAGCCACCTGATCGTGTTGCTGTTTCTTTACATGATCGTTTTCCATTACTATCGAGGGAACCGTCACTTATTGAAAGACACCCAACCGTGCGTTTTAATTCCTCTTTGAGTAACATGGAGCAAGACTCGGAACTATTGAGTGATAAAAATGATTGTATCGGAGTATATGAGGCTCCATGGCTCATTAACACCTCTATTCTCAAACGTTTTCCGTATGAGGGAATGCATAATGATCTGGATACCTTGTTAGCTACACAGGCTGACCCTAGTGGTTTAGTTACTATGGTTATTTTTAATAGTTTTTGGCGTGATCATCTGCATAACTTTGTATATAGCTTTACGAGGAAAGCAAAAATGCGAAATCTGATTGTCGCAAATCTTGATGATGATGCCTTATCCCTTTGTATATCGTTCAGATTACCATGCTTTAATGCGAGTATATTTGCTGAGCATGAGGTAAAAGAGGCGGCGACACAGAAGCAGGGATTCTCTCGCAAGGTCACAGAAGAGCTTTCTTGGGTGAAGCCACGTTTGGCTATTGCTGTGCTTCGTCGTGGATATGCGTTTCTGCTAGCAGATCTTGATATAACGTGGAACCGTTCGCCAATGCGTCATTTACTCGAGAGTCGTGAAGACGTTGTACATCAGTGTGATACAAGAGATTCACTCAGCATTAACTCTGGTTTTTATATGGTACGCCCAAACGAACGGACCTTGCGTTTTTTCACAGATATGATGTCTTTTCGTCCTGATGAGAGTGCAGATCAAGGGGCCATGCGGCTTTTCATGAAGTATGACCATGTCCATGGTGTCTCACACCGTTGCTTGCCGCACTGGGATTTTAACATGAAGTGTAACTATAAGGTGGATCGTTCTGTCAGAATAATAAATGGTCGAGAAACCTTTCTTTGGAAACAGTATCCCCTTAATGAGGTTCCCAAATGGGTTTTGTTGCATGCCACTTGTCTCTCTGGGGCCAAAGACAAAATTCAGTATTTTAAAACCATAAAGGCATGGTTTCTTGATGAACTTGATGCTATCACGGGTTCACATACTTCACCGAAAGCGTTTTGTGTCTCTTTACGTCCCTCTTCTAAGGTGATAAGTGGTGAAAACAACATTGTGCACAATGTTTACGGGACAACTCCACACAGTGATACATACAACGATGCAACTACTGACCCCAAGTATCTGCAAGAGCGACACTAATAGCACTTTTTTTTTTCCTCCTTTAATTTGACACATTGTGCTAAACACCATATTTGCTATCTATGTAAAAGAGAGGGTTAGAAAAACACATTTTTATCTATTATTTAAAGCAACCGCGTTTAATGAGTTCAACGAGGGTAAAAAAAAAAAAAAAGAAAAAACATACATGGACCATAAAAGATGCAGATACGAAATAAAATATTCATGGATGGAACCTTTCCGATTCATATTTCGATTTCCTTAACTGAAGACGGAAATCATGCCATTTTTTTTTTTTTTTTTACTAATGGGACCCAATGCGATTAATACCGTGGTCGTAAGTTCATTGCCGTTGTTGTTGTTGTTGTTGTTGTTTTCTCTGTTGAATATGTGGAGATGAGGTTCTTGGGTTGAATAGAAGCAGCGGAGTGGATGTTTTTACTGAGGCGTTCTCTCCTTGTGATTTCCCAGTGATGTACGGTGCTTTGTAAAGCTCTTGGCGTGTGAGAGGGCAATATGTCGCGGATTCTATTTCACCGGAGTGTCAAAAGTATGGAGTTTGCTTTTCAGCAATACAATCAATGATTCAGGTTAATGTTTTATTTACTTTTCTCCTGCACCCGTTTTCGTTGCGAACCATACCACCCTTCTGGTGAGTAATTGAACTGCGGCAAGAAAATGGTCACAGCATTGCTCTCTAAAAGAATCGAGTCGTACACCAAGGCTGAATTAAAGAAGAACACGTGCGTTTCTTTTCTTTCCTGGATGGTGTAACCCATTGCCTGATATCGAAGTGCATTAACACCGGGTGTACTTAAGAAGAAAGGTAACTCGTCCTTTGACCTGTCTTTTTTTTTTCTTTCCCCCTTTTTCTGTTTTGCACATCTTATTTTCTTTTAACTGACTCTAACACACACCATTGGAAACGTGTTTTGGGTTAAATGTTTTCTTTTTTTTTTCGCTTTTCTCTGCCTTTCCTTAGTTCTAGAACTCGTTGTTTTTAATTGTTATTAAGCCGTCACTTAACAATGCATCCCAACCTTTTCAAGCCTCTCAAGGTGGGGCGGTACACCCTTCCAAATCGTATCATCATGGCTCCACTGACACGTTGCCGTGCAACAGAAGACACTCACGTGCCGAGAACAGATCTTATGGTTAAGTATTACCAAGACCGGGCATCAGCAGGACTCATAATCGCTGAGGCGACAATGGTTCAACCACACTATACCGGATTCTTTTCAGAACCTGGTATATACTCGGAGGAACAAATTGCTGCCTGGAAAAAGGTTGTTGATGCAGTCCACGAGAAAGGTGGACGCATTTTTCTCCAAATATATCATGCTGGTCGTGCTGGTCTTCCATTTAAGATACTTAACCAGGCAAAAAGCGCAAATGAACCGCTTGCAGGTCGACTCCTTGCTGCAAGTGCGGTGCCTATCACAGAGCACAGCATACCTCCTTTTTTCACAAAAAGTGGTGAAAAAGAACCCTACGGTACCCCTGAAGAACTAACCGATGATGAGATCAAACAATGGATCATTCCATACTTTGTACAAGCTGCCAAAAATGCTGTGCTTAAAGCGGGCTTTGACGGGGTGGAAGTGCATGGTGCGAATGGCTACTTGCTTGATGGATTTTTCAGGGATTCCACAAACAAAAGGCAATCTGGTCCTTACGCAGGAAACAATATTGACACACGATGTCAGCTAATTTATGACGTAACAAAAAGTGTGTGTGATGCGGTGGGCAACGACCGTGTGGGGCTACGTATCTCACCATTAAACAGTGCTGGCGGTGCCTACGACTCTGAACCAGAAGCTTTAACCAAGCATCTATGCAAAAAAATAAATTCACTTTCCCTTGCTTACCTTCATTTTCTCCGTGGGGATAGGTTCAACCAAAGAGAAGGAGACGTTGTCTCCTGGGTTCATGAAAGCTATGAGGGAGTGAAGATTTCAAACCTTGCATATGAGATTGATGAAGCTGAAAAAGAAATACAGGAGGGAAAAATCGATGCTGTTGCCTTTGGTACGAAATTCATAGCAAACCCCGATCTCGTGAAGCGAATACAAAATAATCTGCCCATGAATACACCAAAAATGGAGTACTTTTACAAAGGGGATGGGGCAGGTTACAATGATTATCCGCTGAGTGCATAGAACCAAAAGAGAAAATTACGTTATGTATTATTTTATTCAAATTCTTAAAATGCAAGCAAAACAGCTAAAGGGATAAATAAATATGATTCGTTTAGAAGCAAAATCGAGAATTATTTACAATCAAATAAAAAGGAAAACATTCACACCCTTTCTACACGTCGCCTCCCTACCCAAACAAAATGGCA